CTGTTTATTTGGGCATTTAGCCACTGACTTTCAACTTCCTAAATTACAGCAGTCCTTCTCAAAGAGATATCCTACAATATCTGCAGATGGCAGATTCTGCCCACATTTCTACAGATCAGCCCAAGGAAGCTTGACTTCTTATTGATTCCAAATTGTTTTCACATGAAAATACATAACTGGAAGTTTATTAGCCAGTCACCTTTCTTGGAATTAAAATTTATAGTATTTTATAAGTGTCCTTAGAACCTAGCCATAATCCCTTCTCAAGCCTTTCTCAAATTTACATAGTGTTTTGCTTTAAAATAATTGTACAATAATTTCTCTTTCTCAAAGGATTTTTAGAATCTCAGAAGGACTCATCCCCACCTTCTAGTCAAGCAATTCGGTACTGTTTACTTCTCAGGGCTAAAAAAGTGTAAGAAAAGGGATGAAAACTGGCTTTCTGAGCAGCAAGAATGGGCCACATAATATGCTTCACATTTTATATATGAAGCATGTTATATATGAATAACATATGTATGTTGAGCCACTATAGCCCTATAACAGAGGTCCTTTTATCTCTCTCTCTCTCTTTTTTTTTTTTTTTTTTTACAGAGAAGAAAATGGGTTTAGAGAAATTTAATTTCCCAGGATCACAGAAAAATACAGAACTTGGGCTTCAGAGTTAGTATATTGTAATGGTTAATCATTAAAGCTTAGGAGTTAGATTGATTGGATTCAATCCTAATGCTACTGCTTATTGTCCAATTTTGGGCAAGTGACTTTATTCTTCTAAGTCTTGGCTTCCTCTTCAGTAAGATGCAGCCAACAAAAGTAGCTATCTCATAAGGTCGGGGCTGTGAGCATTAAATGAGATAATGCTTATACATTTGCAAGCTACCTCAACATGACTTCTCAACTGCATGTGATTTCTGGATTGCCAGTGGCAATAAGTGAAGAGCAATGATTTTCGCCTACTTTCCCAGTTCAGAGATGAAGATGCAGAAAAAGTCTCTTTATCCCCTGCTTCAGCAAAAAGCAAAAAATGAAATTCCAAAATCATCCAAAATGATCAAAAAATCTCAACACTCAATCACAACTGAATAACTAATGAAGATATAAAGTAATTTTTGATGAGAGTATCTAATGAAGTGATGTCTGAACGTCTTTTTTTCTTAAAGCCTATTTCTTCATTTGAGCCTGAAGGAAAAAATATAGATTTGGCATAGCCTAAGCATGAATATTGTGTGAGGCCAGTTTGTGCACGATCAGTGGCTTCTACGCCACTCTATGAAGCACGAGTACACATACCTGGAAGATTCTAACTGCTCAGGTTAATCCTTGGCTCTGGATGCATCCAAAATGCTTGCTAGTGAGAATCACTACATCCTAGCCCAAAGAGGCATTCATTTTCATCTGGCTGGGGCTTCCAGTTAATTTAAGAGATACTAAACAATTTGAATATCTTAAAATTTATAATTAAATTCATTAATACTGAATATAAAAGTATCAATATACTGGGTCCTTCTAAGATAAGTGACTGTTTTTCCCACTTGCAAAAGGAGTTAATATTTAAGATGTTAAGAAGTTCCTTTTGGTAACAGAAAGACCTTGGTTTAAGGTCCAATTCCCCAAGACACTAGATCTCTCTCTGAGTCTCACCTGCTAATGGGATAAAACCACCTACTGAATAGAGTGGTTTTAAGAATAAAATGAGATAATGTATATGAAGTGCTCAGCATAGTATAATAAGAGCTCAATATATGATGGCTATAATCATTATGCCCACTATAGAAAACCAGAAAGAACAGAAAAGTATAAAGAAGAAAAAAGTCAGCAATTTCTTCTCTCTTAAGCAACTACTGTTAACTTTTGGCTGCTCATCTTTTTTCTCTATATAGTTTGTCTTTATATAATCTGGTATCATACCACACAAACTACATGCATCTTGTTTTGCTGTTTTCTTCCTTTGAGCCTATTAATGTAACCTAGACATTTTCCCACATTATTAACAACTAGCCATAATAGTTTCTTTATGGCTTCTAATAACACATATACATACATACATACATACATAATAAATAAATAAATAAAGTTTCTCCTAGTTATGAGGCGCCTGGGAATGACATAGTCCTGCCTCATCTTCCTGCCACTTTGACCTCCTGGCCTTGGGAATTCTCAAGTCTGTCACTGTCCTCACTTGAGGTCACTACAAAGAACCTCCTAAGTGTTTATAGGGTGCTGGGCATGTAGGTCCCCCCAAACCCAAAGGCAGAGCTTTATAGACCACAGTGTAAAGTAGTACCGAAAGCTTTATATTCCACAGCCATCTGCTTAACTGACTCTCAATTTTTTCTCCCACACAGTGCAACAGAAAGTGCTGAAAAAACAAAAACAAAATCCCTAGACCTGATCATCTCTCTTGAGCTGACCTCAAGCTCCTTCCTGAATACCTTCTCTAACCTAATATCTTTTCATTCAGAGAAAAGACAAGCTGTATTATTTGGCTTACATATTTTTTAAAACTTCCAGTACATCAAAATTCAGTTTGGTTCTAAACATTTGAATTGCCCCAACCGTACTGCCGATGTTGACCCATCCTTCATTCAACACTGATATTATCACTTGCTTTTTCAGTTTTTTCAGAGAACATACTTATCTAATTGTGAAGCTATTCACAGAATTAGTGAAAAATCAAATAAAAATTAAATGTAAAGATAAGTATAACATTTATTTTGGCAACTATCTGGGTCTTGGAGAACTTCGGAGCCACCTTTTTAAAAAATTTTTTTTTATTTTTTTGAGATAGAGTTTTGTTCTTTTTGCCTAGGCTGGAGTGCAATGGCGTGATCTCTGCTCATTACAACCTCTGTCTAGGCAGAGACCAAATTAAAATTAACTGGCACACAGAAGATTAGGGTCTCTGAGGGGTCTGAGATTCTGGCTATATCAGTGATGAGCTGTAAGACTCAAAGGAACACAAATTCTCTGAACCTTCTTCCCATCTCAAAAACAGGAATATTAATCTTCACTTAGTCACCCTTACAGATTTTTTTAAGACAGAGTCTCACTCTGTTGTCCAGGCTGGAGTGCAGTGGTGCAATCTTGGCTCACTGCACACTCCACCTCCCAAGTTCAAGTGATTCTCCTGCCTCAGCCTCCCACATCCAGCCAATGTTTTGTATTTTTAGTAGATATGGGGTTTCACCCATGTTGGCCAGGCTGGTCTCGAACTCCTGGCCTAAAGCAATCCACCGGCTTCGGGCTCCCAAAGTGCTGCGATTATAGGCATGAGCTCCCACACCCAGCCCAGGATTTTTATTTAGGACAAATTGAATAATGCATAGAAGAGTAATTTGTAGCTTATAAAAAGCTATACAAATGTAAGGGGGAGAGTATTTTGCTTTATTTTATTTTTGATACTGAGTCTCGCTCTGACACCCAGGCTGAAGTATAGTGGTGTGATCATAGCTCATTGTAACCTCAAACTCTTGGGCTCATGTGATCCTCCTGCCTCAGCCTCCCAAGTAGCTGGAACTATAGGCATATGCCAGCATGCCTGGCCATTGTTTTTCATTTTTTGTACAAACAGGGTCTCACTGTGTTGCCCAGGCTGGTCTCCAACTTCTGGTTTCAAGTGATCCCCTTTCCTTGACCTCCCAAAGTGCTGGGATTACAGGTGTGAGCCACTGTGTCTGGCCATATTTTGCTTTTAACTAAAAGGGAACGACGAGACTAGACAATCCCAAACACATACAAATTGCCTGTTGCTATTTTATCTGTACATTCAATAATTACCCTAAAATTCTTAAAAATAGATAATCTGAAAAACTTCATCCACCAGTTTTACTCCACACATGCATCATGCTAATTAAAGGATTGGCTATCTTCATGCTGTGTTAGAAGAAACTGAAGTGTTAGAGCAAAATAGACTAACATGCTATCTCAAGGAGCTTATACGAGCTGAAGAGGGACTGAGGAAAGTTAGAAATTAGAGGTAAGAAGGATTAGGATCACTGAGGTTATACGAATTTAAAAATAAAAAAGGTATAAACAGCTTAGAATTTAAAGAAATGTTAGGAGATGGATCTTCCCAAAGAGGGGCACCAGTATCCAAACCTCTATATCACCAATTTTGTGAAGCTATTACATGCAAGTCCTCCAGAGCCTGACATTTGATTACATTTAAAATTCATCTTTTGCTTCCCTTTTCCTTCCTCCCCCATACACAATGTGTTCTTGCTCCAACCTCCCACTTTTCCTCCTTTGATTTATTTCAATTTCAATCCCTTTTAAAAGTCTGGGTCCAGTTTCCTATTGGCCTCTTTAACCTCTCCTTGCCTGGCTCTGCTGGCACACACACCCGACCCTGACATCTCAGAAGCATTCCTCTTTAGAAAAATCATGTCTCTTTCTTGCAGAGGAGACTTGGAACATTATTCAAAACTTGATTACTTTTTTTAAATTTAAAGGATAAGATCTCTAAATTCCAAGCTGTTTCCCTAGGAGAGTAGAGGACGTGGGGGAAGAGAAGCAATGGTAGTTCCAAACCGGCTCAGACTTGGGTCATTGGTGGTGGCTCGATGGCATTCTCATTCCATCCGGGCAGGCTCCGCTGGCCAGAGGCATTCAGTCAAAGCAGGTAGGAGGAGGGAAACATAGGCAGACAAACTTGCAAAGACAAAGATGGAGAGAAAGAAAAAGGTAACATAAAGAAAGGGGTTGATGGGAGAGAAGGGATGTCAGAAACAAGGAGGGAAGATGGGGAAAATGGAGCAAGGAATAAAGGAAAGGAGAAAACAGAGCAAGTAACAGGGGGAGGACTGAAGAGAGAAATAGAAATAAACCAAGAACACAGAAATGTCTGGGGTCTTAACAGGAGTTGGGTCCAGACAGACCAAGTGGGATGGGCGGAGCAGGGAAAGAGGAGGGGAAGGGGCGGGGGTGACTGCCATGCCTAGCCTCGATCTATTTGTGTACTTCCTTACACTGTCATCGGTAGCTGCCTTATCAATTTTCACCTCTGGCAGGAGACGCCCGCCGATGTGGGAGCCGGGGCCGCCGATGAGGGACACCACACCATTGCAGTCCACGGTGCTGTTGCGCTTCACGCTGCGCCGCAGGCTGGGGAAGATGCGCGAGGAGCGGCTGCCCTGGCTGTAGCCACTATAGCCACTGTAGCTGCTGCGGCGCTCGCGAGCCCGAATGGGGATGAAGAGGGAGTCCCGGCGGCCCTCGCTCTCCTCCACGGTGCTGTGCTCGTCATCCGCGAACTCATTCTCTGAGCCCGGGTCTCTGAACCGCCCAGGGCCCCGGAAACTGAAGATGCTGCTCTTGCTGTTGTGGCGGGAGAGGAAGGGCGAGCCCGGGATGCTCAGCAGTGACTGCAGGGGCAGAAAGAGAAAGAGAGAGGGAGGGGGAAATGAGACGGGAGTGGACCTTTATCCCGAGCAAGGGTGGTTAGGTTCCCATCAGGCCCCATCCTCGCAGTCCTGTGATCAGAACACAAGTGTTTCCAGAAAGCACTTCTGCATGTTGACCGCTACAGTTCTTCACCAATTGTTACTCACCGGTGCTTGACCAGTTACCGATTCAAAACGTCTATCCACTGCTCCTTGAACGCATCCTAAGACGCTTTTATCCCATGTTGTATGCAACTTATCCAGGGGGAAGCACATGGTTGTGTACATTTCTTTTTACCATGGGCTGAGAGGAAGTGTCTTTAACTTAAGTTAGACTATGCCACACTGGGCAAAAAGACAGAATTTATTTATTATATATAAATATATATAACTATTTTATATATATTGTTTTTTGAGATGGAGTTTCGTTCTTGTCGCCCAGGCTGGAGTGCAATGGTGCTATATTGGCTCACTGCAACCTCCACCTCCCCAGTTCAAGCGATTCTCCTGCCTCAGTCACCCTAGCAGCTGAGATTACAGGCATTCACCACCATGCCCAGCTAATTTTTGTATTTTTAGTAGAGACAGGGTTTCACCATGTTGGCCAGGCTGGTCTCGAACTCCTGACCTCGGATGATCCATTTCTCTCACTGGGGAGAAACATGGCCAGGACAACACAGGACTCAGGTATTCATGGCCCCCTTGCTAACTGCCACAATCACCTTTAACACTGTCACTGTCCTAAAAATGGCACTCAAGACCCTCCCAGCTTTGACTCTAGTTTACTTATTCTACTTTATCTTTCACTGTTTTCTCATACACCCTACCATGCAGCCACCCTGCCTGCTGGTCTTTATTTCCTCCTTTCCAGTACATGCTCCATTTTCAGCTGGGGAAATCCTCTCAGTTCTCTGTGATCCAGCCCTTCTGCTTCTTCCTCTAACTTCCTTAATCTTTACATAGCACCAAACACCCTTTCAGAATATTTATGCTCTACTTTATTTTTTATCTTTTTCTTCAAGTCAAGATCTCACTCTGTTGCCTGGGCTGGAGTGCAATGGTGCAATCGCTCACTGCAGCCTCAACCTCCTGGGCTCAAGTGATCCTCTTACCTCAGCCTCCCGAGTAGCTGGAACTACAGGTGTGTGACACACCACACCTGGCTAATTTTTTTATTTTTTGTAGATACGGGGTTTCACCATGTTGCTCAGGCTGGTCTCAAATTCCTGGGCTAAAGCGATCCTCCTGCCTTGGCCTCCCAAAGTGCTGGGATTACAGGCGTGAGCCACTGCACCTGGCCTATGCTCTACTTTTTACAACAGTTCTTTACATACATGTTCTATCTCTCCTTTTTAATCAACTACAAACTCCTTAAGGGCACACTGACTGATTCATCCTTATATCTCCCAGCATGCTTTGTACATAGTAAATACAAAGTTTAACTTAATTAACATGCATTTAGATTACATACTACAGCTTGGCCACCCACTGTAGGGCTGTTCCACACCTGCACTGGGTCACTGCTTCACTTCTCACAGCAAGCTAAACTACACTGAACTCATAATTTTGCCTTAGGTCAATGCTGGGTGCTAACACTACTTGGTACATTAGGAAAGAGGTTTTACAAATCTTAAAATAAAATGCAATTTTATATAAAAATATATATATTTTATTTTAAAAAATTTTTTTAATTTAAAATTTTTTTTTAGATAGAGATTCGCTCTGTCACCCAGGCTGGAGTGCAGTGGTACAATCTTGGCTCACTGGAACCTCCGCCTCCCAGGTTTAAGCTATTCTCATGCCTCAGCCTCAAGTGATCTGGTCTCAAGTGATCTGCCTACCTCAGCCTCCCAAAGTGCCAGGATTACAGGCATGAGCCACTGTGCCTGGCTAAAATTTAATTTTATTTAACCAAATACCTATTGTGCGCTAAGTGATATGGAAACAGTGGTGAACGAGACACATGACATGGTCCCTACCCTCTTGAAACTTGCAGGTCAGGAGGAAGTATCATATACTACATGAGATCTAATACATCATACTATTCTTAACCTTAAGGATAGTGAGAAGGATGATAAGACAGTGATGAAGAACATGGCCAATTCAGTGAACTTATAAACACTTAAAAATCAGGATCCTAAGATAATATACAATACAAGGAAAAACTGTTCTATTGTTTTCTACACCTTGTTTCACTCTTGGCAAAAGAGTAGACTGCAATGAACAAATGTGAAAGGGGAAAAGGTGACTTGCCCCATTTCTCCTTGTACCCAGGATCCAACACTGATTTAGGCCATTTCCTAAGGAGCTACATCCTGAGGGCTGAAACCCCTTCGCCAGTCTCAACTTTCCTAGACTGGAGGGTTTCAGTGATGACTCAGGAACCGTGGCTCTATTAATTCCTGGGATCCTGTGTAGTTTATGAGATGAGCAGGCCTTACTTCCGGTTTTTAAAATCTTCCTGTCAACCAACCAGGAGTTTTTAGTCCTTTTCAGGCAGTCACAGTTAAACTAAAAATTCCAACTTAGGTTTAGATGTTTGCTTGGGAGAATGGGTCTGGGGTGTTCTGGATTTGAGGGTATAACTTTCACATTGCACAGAAAAATTGTCTCTAGGGATTTCAGGGGATACACGTAAATTGTCTGTCAAGATGAGGCTTGCAATGACTGGGATGTTCGGAATGTGATGAAGTAGTGATTTTACATGTTCTATTTCCATGCCATATTTCATTTTTTCTTTCTAGTATAACAGTGGTTCTTAAAGTGTGGCCTGGAGACGCCTGGAGGTCCCTCAGACCTTTTAAGGAAGGCTAATGAGGTCAAAATTCTTTCATAATACTGAGATGATATGTGCTTTTATCACTCATTTTCTCATAAGCACACAGTGACACTGTGAGCCTGACAGCTTCATAATTTTTAAATAGTTTTCCAGTAAGATTGGTGGTAATAATAATAGTTTTAAAATCTCATATGTATTTGGAAGATTTGCATAAACTCAAGAAATGAAAATTTCTCAAATGATCACTGCATGATGCTAGAAATCATTCATGGGTTAAAGACCTAGGCTGGGTGCAGTGGCTCACACCGTAATCCCAGCACTTTGGGAAGCTGAGGTGGGTGAATCACCTGAGGTCAGGAGTTTGAGACCAGCCTTACCAACATGGTAAAACTCCGTCTCTACTAAAAATACAAACATTAGCTGGGCATGGTGGTACACGCCTGTAATCCCAACTACTCAGGAAACTGAGGCAGGAGAATCGCTTGAACCTGGAAGGTGGAGGTTGCAGTGAACCGAGACTTCGCCACTGCCCTCCAACCTGGGCAACAGAGAGAGACTCTGTCTCAAAAAAAAAAAAAAAAAAAAAAAATCTATGGTGCAAAATGGAGTAAGGGATTTTACTATAACAGAGTATAAAGTTAACTGATACAGTTACCGATTCCACGTTACAACTAATTGTTAAAAAATGGTCACTGTTGAGTTTTGGAACAGCATCAAGGAGGAACATTCACGATTTTTTTTTCCAACTACATATCTGTATGAAACTTGCTTTTCTTCAAATACTTAAAGAAAAAAAAAAAAAACAACTGCAACACACTGAACACATGCATAAGCAGGTAGGATATTTCAACTGTTTTCCATTACCTATAGATTAAAGAGGTTTGCAGATATATAATGCAAAAAAAGGGGTTTTTTGGAAAAGAGTTCATTTTTCTTAAATATATATAATTTGTATTAATCATGTAATGGATTTATCATTACTATATATATTTTTATTTGTAAATATTTTTAAATTTTTAAAATTATAATTTCTAATATGAGAAATTCAAAGCACATTTTAAAAAAGGTTTTTAGGTCCTCAAAATTTTTTGAGGAGATAAAGGGGTCCTAAGACCAGAAAGCTTGAAAACTGCTGCAACAGGGCAATTAAAATACTTTGCAAAAATAGGCTCAACTTAATATTTATAAACTTCCCTGAGCCTTAAAAATATAGAGAAATAGGTGAAATATAGAGAAATGGGTGAGCAGGAGATATCTCAAGAACTCAGAAGCTATGGAAATAAAAGAAACTGATACATACCTGAACTATGTTGTGAGAAAACTGAAGCCACATTCATTATTAAGCTAATAGAAGAGATGATCATGCACATCCCCCCAAAAAAATTAGTTTTTTGATAATGTAGGGAATTAAACATCTTATTGAAGGGAATGAGATATGGTGTTTGGAGGTTTAAAGAAAATACTGAGAGTTTAGAATAGTTTTTAAGAAGAATGGGAGAGGGAGTTCCCCTAAGCAGATTCATTCTATTTACTAATTAAGTCCCAACTCCTTAGCCTGGAATTCATAGCATTCCCCAGAGCCTTAGTATGGACACAACCTATGTGTTCATTCTCCAGTCTCTGTGCCCCATCAATCACCCTATACCTAAACCAGAATGAGCTACTAGATATTTCTCATATATGATGTTTGTTTTCTACCCTCTGTGCTTTGCTCTAGAAACACCCTCTCTAAAATGTCCTGTTGGCCAGCACAGTGACTCACACCTACACTTTGAGAGGCCAAAGTGAAAGAATCATTTGATGATCATGCACAAGCTCTGGAGTTGGATGAACCTGGTTCAAATCTTGACTTGAACACTTACTAGTTATATAACTAGTTATGTAAGTTAATCTTTCTAGGCCTCGATGTCCTCAGTCACTCTTCCTGAGAAACTGCAGGAAAGTCCTACTAGTCCTTGGAGCATCTAAGCAAGTCTTGGCAGTCGGCCTTGGCCTCTAGGAATTTCCTTTTTTTTTTTTTTTTTTTTTGAATGGGGAAATTAGACAAAGTGAATATTTTCATGCAAAACAAGACATCTCAAAAGCCTGGTTTCATTTTTTGAGGTAAGGAGCAATCAGTACACCTTTGTACTAAAGCCTATAGAATAATCAGAGACCATTCAATAGCAAAGCGTTAACAGCACTAAGGTATTCACAGCTCAGTGAGTCTCTCAAGACAAGGGTAAGATTACAACAAAGCTGCAGTCATACTTTCCCCAAAAGAGGTTGAACTAGAAGAAAGGTGAGGTAAAGGTGAGATAGAGATGGCTTCAGGCTATAAAGAAGTCTCAGAAAGGGTTAAAGCAAATTTCTAAAAGTTTTGTATTCATTTGTCTAACAATATCTAGGATGTGCTAAGAATCAGACCTTGACTTTAAGACTTTATTTGAGAAGGGGATATGAACATAAATAAATATACACACAGAGTATATGTAGAATGCTTTCTATATGTAGAGTAAAAAGCAACAAATGAAGAGGCACACGTAAAACATAATGGAAAGATGAAATGATTTCCAACTAGCAAACAAGGGAGTCAGGGAAGGTTTCTTAAGAGGAAGACACCAAGAATAATTATGATGTAGAAATTCAGAGAAAGAAAAATAGGGCATTTAATTTTAATTTTTGTCTTTTCTGAGACAGGGTCTTGTTCTGTTGCCCAGGCTGGAGTGTAGTGGTAAAATCACAGCTCACTATAGCTTCAACCTCCCATGCTCAAGTGATCTTCCCGCCTCAGCCTCCTGAGTAGCTGGGACTACAGGCATGTACCACCATGCCTGGCTAATTTTTTGAGATGGAGTCTCAGCTATTCTAAGCTGTTAGTATTTTCTTTAAACCTCCAAACGCAATATCTCATTCCCTTCAATAAAATGTTTAATTCCCTACATTATCAAAAAACTTTTCTTTTTTTGAGATAGTCTTGCTGTCACCCAGGCTAGAGTGCAATGGTGCAATTTTGGCTCACTGCAACCTCAGCCGCGCAGGTTCAAGCGATTCTCCTGCCTCAGCCTCCCAAGTAGCTGGGATTACAGGCACCCGCTACCGCACCCAGATAATTGTTGGATTTTTAGTAAAGATGCGGTTTCACCACCCTGGCCAGGCTGGTCTCGAACTCCTGACCTTGTGGTCTACCCGCCTCGGCCTCCCAAAGTGCTGAGGTTGTAGGTGTGAGCCACCGTGTCCGGCCTAATTTATTTTTGTAGAGACAGAGGTCTCACTATGTGGCCCAGGCTGGTCTCAAACTCCTTGATTTTTAATTCCCGACATCACCAAAAAGACTAAGCTGTCACGGGTTATCTTCCTCAACTTTGTACTCCTTTTCTACAACTTATCCGCCTCATCCTTCCCTATTTTCTTAAGGTTTCAGGGAATAAGAGTCCCTATTCTGTTAAAGACTACATCTATTTCCATATCTTCCAAGATTGTGCTCTACTTCTATCTATTCTATTTCATTTTCTAACCCTGCTTCTCCCTTTTCTGTTTTTCTTTTTCCCCACAGATTATAACATGCTTGTTTCCACCCACACTTTTTCATGAAGTTGGAATGAGAAGTCTATACTCTCTGTCTCCACTCTCCACTCAACATGGCATCCTTCCTCACTCTGGATTAAAACATGTCTTTAAAGTCCTCAATGACTTTATATTGCCAAATCCAATGGACACTTTCAATTCTGATCTCACCAAGCATCTCTGTTAAATATCAATCCATTGATCACTGCCCTGCCTTCTCCAACACTGCTACTCTCCTGACTCCACTGAACTCTTGGCCCTCTCAGCTCCTCTTACATTGCTCATCTGTTTTCATTCCTGAACTCCATCTCCTATGCTGGTGAACAGCAATGGTCATGTCTTTGGCTCACTATTCTTCCAACAGATACATTCTCTTTGCGTAATCTCAAGTCTCATGGTTTCAATCACCACCTCTCAGTTCAGGACCCCTTCCCTGAGCTATCATTTGCCTATCCTTGTCTAAAAAAAAAAATCTCTACTTGGTTATCCAACAAATAATTCAAACTCTGGATGTCTAAACTGGAATATGCTTCCCTTCTAAGCCTGTATTGTCATTCTTTTTTTCTTATTGCTCCCTCAGCAACACACACATAAACTACCTAATTCCTGTGTATCCTTTAAGCCTCAGTTCAGAAATTTACCTTTCTCAGAAAATCTTTACTGAATCTCCATGTTGGGATAGACCTATGCTTTTCTAACACCCTCAGCATATCTCAATTATGGAATAATACTGCTGATGCTATTACATAAGTAATTTTTTAGCGTATTCGGCTGCCTCACTGTACCGTCAACTCTCTAGGGTAGAGGTGACATTTTAATCACCTTTTAAGCCCTAGGACATAGCACAATCCTTGATATGTGGTAGGTACTCCATAAATGCTTACTACATGAATGATGAGAACTACATTTTAGGACGTGATCTGTTGACAGTATATAAAACACAAAGGAGAAGAAGTAAGACTAGAGAAAACAAAACTGAACAAATGCAGTGAACAAAATAATACAATCACAAAGCCAAAACTCAGATAAGGGTAAGGAATGGAAAGAAGGGGATGGACATGAGGGATTTTGCTCATCCCCTGAAATGAACAAGACTGGCAAAAGACTGAAATGGGAAGTGAGAGATGCAAGTGGGAAAATGAATCATCTCTGAGAAAAAAGAAAAGCCACTGACTATACTGCCATAAACAGTAACTATATTCTATACCTACCAACTTTCCAGCATTTCTTTAAAATGGGAAATTAAATGGCCTAAGAATTGGATTTTGGTGGTGTTCGCTAAAATCCAAAAATACCTATTTATGTGAGGACATCTGTAGTAATAGAGTGCTCAACAATTACCTAAATCCTCTCTTCTCTTTTTTTCTTAGTTTCCTTATTTATCAAAGTTGGGAACAACTGGAGGCTTTCAATCTACCATAGGCTAACTTATCAGTGTGACACGATATATCCAGAATAATTAGTAAGTAGAACTTGTCATGCTCAAATAAGATGTCCTAAAATGTTTCATTTTACCTTAATAAAAAATAAATTTTTGAAAAAGGTATAGGCAAAAAGAAGAGTTTACCTGATTCATGATGGAAAATTTCCTCCCTATTCTGTTGTCTGGCAGCCGAAAGGCCTTCCTTCTCATGCCATCTTCTGACTCTGACTTAAACACCTTCTCAGGATCCCCTTTCTCTTCTCCTTCAGAGAGCTCCTTTTGCTTCCTCTTCTTTCTCCTGTTACGTCTTTCCTTTGCACTCTTTGAACTGAGTTTAGAAAGCTCAGAAGAGCTCCGAGGGGAGCCGCCTCCTTCTTCACCTTCTTCCTCTATGGCATCTTCTGAGACAGTTCCTGCTGAAGTGGCCATCGCAGCAGCCTAGGAAAGAAGCCACAGCAACACAACAGACCAGGGCAATTAACTCAAGCCACCCAGAGCCAACCAGTTAGTACAGAACATTTCCCTTCCTATGGGAAAGAAAGGAAAAAAGGAAGAGGGAAAGCCAGACTGTTAGAGAGTTTCTGTATATTCTAGCACACAGCCCTAAGTGAACAGAGCAGAACCCAGTGGTGAGAACTCTGGGAGTTATTCTCTTGAGCATTTCAGACAAGAACTTGGCTGCTGGCCTGCTACCAGAGGATCCCTTCTGAGCAAGTCTGGAAATGAATGCTAAGAAACATTCATTTATTATTATGAATGTTTAACTATTATGGGTCCTAACAATGAACAAATACATGTATATTTAGATAAGGATTAGAAAGTTAAGTGTTAAGGTGATAAGACCACAAATGTTTTTCAAATCTTACTTTATAATATTTTGCCTGTATCTTCTTTTTAATTAGAAATAATACTTTTGGCCAGGCGCGGTGGCTCACGCCTGTAATCCCAGCACTTTCGGAGGCCGAGGCGGGTGGATCACGAGGTCAACAGATCGAGACCATCCTGGTCAACACGGTGAAACCCCGTCTCTACTAAAACTACAAAAAAATTTTTTTTTGAGACGGAGTTTCGCTCTTGTTACCCAGGCTGGAGTGCAATGGCGC